AGCAGAACAGTAGCTAAAAGCAGCAGAACAGCAGCTTAAAACAGCAGAACAGTAGCTAAAGGCAGCAGAACAGTAGCTAAAAGCAGCAGAACAGTAGCTAAAAGCAGCAGAACAGTATATAAATGGAAGAGAACAGTAGCTTAAAGCAGCAGAACAGTAGCTTAAAGCAGCAGAACAGTAGCTTAAAGCAGCAGAACAGTAGCTAAAAGCAGCAGAACAGTAGCTAAAAGCAGCAGAACAGCAGCTTAAAGCAGCAGAACAGTAGCTTAAAGCAGCAGAACAGTAGCTAAAAGCAGCAGAACAGTAGCTAAAAGCAGCAGAACAGCAGCGAAAGGAAAGAGAGAAAAAGGCTAAAATCAGGCAAATTGTTGCTTAAATAAGAAAAACAGCCAAAAATAAAATAAAATAAAACTAAGTGCAGCTAAAAAGTAAAATAATCAGGATAGCTAAAAGTACCTAAACTAATCCAGGTAGAAGCTTAAATGAGCAAAATAGTAACTTAAAGCTAAATGTTGCATAACTAAAAACCAAAGGCAGAATAAAAATACTAAAATAGTGCAACTAGAGAACAGTGTTTTTAAATGAATAAAAAAACTATTTTTTGAGAAGTTTGTTTTGAATAAAGGTAAATATTTTGAAAAGGATCAAAGTCTTAACATCTAAGTTATAGCACACGAAACCTGATACAGCTAAATGTTTTACATGAATGGCTCAACTAGAGACTTGTACTTATTAATGTTACTCTTTCACTGGGATATTTGACTGTAATACAATGAAACTGAGAGTTTAATTGGAGACCATTCATTGGTTTATGAGATATTTTGCTAACAGACAAACACACACACTAGCAAAAGGCAGGTGCTGATAATCCATTCTTCTTCACGCTGTGCTCACACTTCTTACTTTGATTTTTTTTTTCCCATCCAGATCCGCTTTCAGCAACAACGTGCGTGTGGCCTATGACCTCCTCGACGTCACTGGCTGTCAGGGACAAGCAGGCGAGGCCCCTGGAGGCTCTGACGGCCCCTGCTCTGGTGGTCCCATGGGTGCAGGAGGAGGCGGGGTGAGGGGAGGACTCTACACGCAGACTCTGCAGTGCCTCTGCAGTGAGGGAGGCGTCCCTGCCTCCACCTCCGCCCCGCTCCTCCAGCGGCTCTGCTGCCAGGACCACGAGGCCGTCCCGTACGACGTGTTCCGCTACAGCGTGCTGACCTGCGCTGTTTTCTCCGACTACATCCGGCAGGCTCAGAGGCTTTACGCCGAGGTGTGCTGCTCGGACGAGGGGCCGGTGTCGCGGGCCCTGTGTCTGACCGTGCTGGGGACCTTAAAGGAAGCCTTAGAGACCTCTCAGGGCTGTGACGCGAACCGTTCTCTCAACACCAACACGAAAAGCAACAACACAAAGGCTCGCCGCTATTTGCAGGCCAGTGCCAGGATCTCCCCCCACAACCTGGCCCAGGCCATGGTGGGAGCACAGACACGGGGTCCCGGAGGCAACATGGATGCAAAGGAATTTGAAAATGCAGCGGCGGAGCTGTTCATCGCTCGAGTGAAACTTGTGTCTTAAGTCACGAATACCGAACAAGTCATCGTGTTATTCTTATCACGTCTGACACACTGCAGCCAAACGACACACAAAGCAAATAAAAACACTGACACCCAACCCACTTATTTCTCTTTGCTTTTAAATTTAATCATTTCCTGCATCTGTTTTATTAGAAATGTTTTCAGACTTTGAATTGAATTTTTTATTCTCTGCATCACACTGTTTTATTCAATTGCATTTTTTTTTCAAACAGGGAAAGAGATTATTCAAAACATCAAGAGGACATTAAACTTCATGTTGATGCTTTAATTTTTAATGATTTTTTTTATGACAAAAGTGTCACATTCTGAGAAGTTGGAGCAACAGGAGGTACCTGAAAATGTAGACAAGAGCAGTGCAAAAAATAACAATTACAGAGTTATGATACAGGGCACAATTTGCAACAAAAACGTTGGCTGTACTTATGAAAAACAATCTAATTATCTGTTTTGTGTTAAAGTTTTCTGTGACTTGGATAAATCCATTTTTTAGATTAAACTATTAAAGTTATACCCAGTGGTGGGCAGCTCTTATCTAAAAATTTGTTCCACTAGCTGTAAAATACTAACTCAAATATTTAGGTCCCCTAATTCTAAAGCACTAACTCAAAWATTTAGGTCCCCTARTTCTAAAGCACTAACTCAAATATTTAGGTCCCCTAATTCTAAAGCACTAACACAATGAAAGTTTTAGCAAAAGCTAATTCTAAAGCACTAAAATAACCCAATAAACCTATGAACATTCTTCAACAGACAACATGAGTCACATATTTCCATGTTGCTCTCTTAAAACTTATCATTGACATCCCACAGCTGTATTTGTGTTCATATATTGTTAATATATTGTCACCTAGTGGATAGTGACACATATAAACAAAATGTGTGACAGCTTTCACCCTCAGCTGTTAACATTAACGTATATCAATAACATTTATAGACCTCTGTTAGTGCTTCTAAATTTAGCCTATAAATTTAGCAAGCGCTAATCCACTAATAAATTTTAAAATTAGCAAAAGCCCTAAAGCACTAATCAGGAAATTAGTTCCCCTATTAGAGCTGATAGGAGAACTGTGCCCACCACTGGTTATACCGATAAAGTTGAGTCAATGGGCCTCATATGCAAGAGCCATTCATAGGAACAAAAGTAAGAGAAATTTAGGATAAGAACACGAACATGTTCTTGCATGATGAGGCCCAACGCTCCTTGAAACAATGAAAAACTTGTGCATCCTTTTGACGCGTTGCTGAAATGTCTATTTTCAGCCACAAGGTGGCAGCACCGTTCGCAAACACTCAAAAGGCAAAAGCGGAAGTTGATGATATTTAACTCTATGGTGGTAAGATGCTACTGCAGGACTTGTGGGTTGTTTATATGCTGCTTTCATTACGGTAGCTTCGTGCCCTTCGTATTGTCGGGATGGGAGAGGACGAGCAGCTGCGGTCCTTAATGTTTCTTATGACTTATCTGCTGCTGAAGCGACGCAGGGACGTAAACAGCGCGAACATCCAGAGGCGCGATGAAATCCAGAGACGAGTCCGACACCGACAGTACTTCTTCCAGAGACAAAGGAGGATGCTTATGGTTAGTGGCACTGTGGGTTTTATCATATGACTCCAACAGTTAGGTGTTTTATAAACAACATTGGCATGCAAAAAAAATAACAATCGTTTTACACGAAGCTGAAGTTAGCTTCCGATTCGGGAAATGACTAAAGGGATATTACAACTAATTTTTCACCACCTTGCGCGTGTTTAACCTCCTCTAGCTCAAAAACTACAACACCTACACTCTTCAAATCTGGACTAGATTATTCTACACTAAWAGAAGAATAATAAAAACTAGTTTGAGCTTTGGGAAACTTTTGTCTGATTTGTGAAAAATCAATAAAGTTTGTTTTTCATCGTTTTTATGCAACTGGACCACATTAGATCTGGTCCAGCTCAAAAACCATAACACCTGGATCTACACTAATAGAAGAATAATAAAAACTAAGTTTGAGCTTTGGGAAACCTTTGTCTGATTTGTGAAAAATCAATAAAGTTTGTTTTTCATCGTTTTTATGCAACTGGACCACATTAGATCTGGTTTGAAGAGTCCAGGTGTTGTGGTTTTTGAGCTGGACCAGGTCTAATGTGGTCCAGTTGCATAAAAACGATGAAAAACAAACTTTGTAGAAGTTTCACAAACCAGAGAAAGGTTTCCCAAATCCCAAACGTGTTTTTAAATATTCTTCTATTAGTGTAGGATAATCTAGTCCAGATTTGAAGAGTGTAGGTGTTGTAGTTTTTGAGCTAGAGCAGSTTAAACACGCGCCAGGTAGTGAAAAATTAGTTGTAATATCCCTTTAGTCATTTCCCGAATCGGAAGCTGGAATCGGAAGCTAACTTCTGCTTCGTTGTATACACTAAGTGACTGGCAGCTACAAATTTACACAAACATGACAAAGAAATCGGACACTGATTTAAAAAAAAAAATACACGATGACGATGGATGATAAAACTCGAGCCTTCATGAATATTTTATTTGTTTCAGTGAAAGCACTGAGTGCTGAATGATGAAAACTGCTGAGAATTGTTCTGAAAATGAATGAGCTCATTCCTCATCCTCGTCTCTCCCAAATAGAATCTCAACATCTTCAGCTCTGACACTTCCGGTTCTGTCTCCTGTCTTCTTGTCAGTGACATCCTGTTGTCACAAACAAACAAACAAACAAACAAACACATCACAGTAAACCCTTCCTGATTGAGCCAAACAGTATTGATATATGAATGGTTAAAATATCACACAGTCTGCAGTAGTAGTTTAATTGCAAAAACTGTTAACAGGAGAACAATCATGTGAATCTTAACTCAATAAGTTCTTGTGAGTCTTTAGTTAACCAGCAGTGCAGTGTGGAGCATTTTAAAAAAGATGAGCTGAAGATAAATTATTATGGAGCGATATGGTAATTTAGTGCCAAAAGGTTTCATTGGAACTAACCAAAGTACAAAAAAAACTATACACAGAGAAACAGTTGCCACAGTTAAGTAAGTAAGTAAAGTTTTATTTATAAAGTGCCTTTCACAGAAATATATTCACAAGGTGCTGATAACTACTGCTGTGTTCAAATAAACTAAACATTTAATTCTTTATTTTAAAAAAATGACATTCATCTTGACAGACATGGCTGTTATTCTCTGGAGTCCCGATTCCTCTGATTACTTTTTCAAAATAACATTATAGCCATATGTAAATATAGTATATCATAATGAAAATACATGCTAGTGAAATAATATTGCAGCATCACCACAGCAAAAAAAATATATTAAGAAGTAAATTTTGCTTATAAAAATAAAAAAAATAAACCGTTGAAGTGGTTGCTTTAACATTTATTGGTTAGAATATATTGCAGATATCAATAATTCATTGTATGCCTGGTCAGAACACAAATGTCATAAATCAAAAGAGGTTTTCTTATTCTTGTGGACAACCTGGGTATCTGAAATTTAGTTTTTGACTTGGAAGACCTGAATTGTAAAAATCTTCCCTGATGATCCTGAGATTTACCACTGGGCCATCACAAATAAACAGACAACCACACATACAAACTTAGATTCATCAGTTAACCTGACCGCAGACCGTAGGAGGACGCCGGAGCACCTGGAGAAAACCCACGCAGGCTGAGAAAGAAGGCTTGTTTCCGAAGCACTTCCTGTCAAAACGCTCATTTTTTATCATCTCGTCTCCTCAGATGATGATCGCGGGAGGCATCCGCTCCAACGTCCGCATCCGCACACGTCCCTGGACCACAACTCCTCGCTCGGACTGGTGGGAGCGGGTGGTGATGACCGAGTTCCAGCCCTCCGACTGGCTGGATAAGTTCCGGATGAGCCGAGAGACCTTCTTTTACCTCTGCGACAAGCTGAGGCCCCGCCTGGCCCGCCAGGACACCAGCTTCCGCCTGGCCCTGCCGGTGGAGAAGCGCGTCGCCGTGGCCCTGTGGCGGCTGGCGTCCAACGTGGAGTACCGCACCATCAGCTCCCTGTTCGGCGTAGGGAAGTCCACCGTGTGCAGGTGCGTTCGAGACATGTGTCACGCCATCGTGGCGCTCCTCAGCTCCATCTACCTGCGGCCCCCCAGCGAGCAGGAGCTGGAGGACTCCGCTCAGCTCTTCCTGGCCTACTGGGGCTTCCCCCACTGCGTCGCTGCCGTAGCCACACTTCACACCGCCATCATCACCCCGTCGAGCAACGCGTCCGACTACGCCAACCCTGCCGGCTGGCTCTCGGTTTTGTCTCAGGTAGAGAGAACTTCAGTTGAAGCCTCCGCTGCTGGTGCTCGCTCTCACGCTGCCTGTTTTTGTGGGCTCCCTCAGGTGGCTGTCAGCGCCCGCGGCCTCTTCTGGGACGTGTGTGCCAGCTTCCCCGGTGGAACAGATCCAGCTGACATCTTCCAGAACTCTTCACTGTGGGCCACAGCTGCTGAGGGGGGGCTGTCTCCTGCCCCGACACCTATTTTCATGGGGCGACCCCTCAGGTAAAGTTACTACCCCACACTGGGGCTGCACTTTTATTAAACAATCATATATAACACCGTTAGCTTTGCCTAACTATTTCCTTCTTCACAAAATGTGGAAATGTTTTAATTCATGTTAGTTTATTTCCAAGATAAACCATATTTGTGACCCATTATATCGAAATGAGGATTACATCAAATTTGGTCAAAATGACCTAATTACATTTTCAGATTTCTGGCTTTAAAAGCTACATTTTGACACCTGGATCATCCTGATATCATAAGCTTATCCAGAAATATGACATGATTTGTCTTGTTGGTTACTACATTACATTAATATTTGATCTGAATCCTAATTTTTTTGTAAATTTATTGAGTGATTTAGAGTAAACCTCAAATAATATTTGTATATTAAGATTTCCCAGTTGGAAAGAAACAAAAAAGTTCTAGGTCACAGAGAAAAATTCACAATTTTAAAGAGATCCCCGATTAGTTGTAACATTAGACTTTATTTGATAAACATATATTTTAACTGTAAAATAAAGACTGTAAAAATACTGTAGGATGTTCAGTTTTTATCATTTTTAAACTAAAAGTTTAAAAAATATATTACACGGACGGGGTCATTTCATTTACACGCAAAGCATTCTGGGTAAATGATTATGTCAACTAGGTCAAGCTGAGGTTCTTCTTCCATGAAGCAGCTCTGTTGTCCTCCATCTATATTTTCAGTTACAGGCTGAGTCATTTCTACCTTCTCCTCTCTGTCAACGCTCTCTGGTTTCATTTAAAAGAGTCGATCATCAGATATTGTCCAAGATTAACCTTCAGGGTGGATATAGCTCGCTAGCAGCCTCGCACCGAGGACCTATCCACGTCATCATTTACCCAGAATGCTTTGCATATAAATAAAATGGCCCCACCCGTGTACTATATTTTTAAACTTTTAGGTTTAAAAATTATAAAAACTAAACATCCTACAGTAGTTTTACACAGTTAAAATATATGTTGATTAAATAAAGTCTAATGTTACAACTAATCGGGGATCCCTTCAAGGCGTTTTTCCTCAAAATCAGTTTTTTTTTGTTGCTACTGCTCAAAAAGATGCCTCAAAAAAATTTTAGGAGTATATTTTAGACAGTTCTTTCAGTTCATTATATTTTGACAAAATGCAATTTTTGCACGCTTTTAAATCAAAACCCTATCTGCCTATTTCTCCACATTTCAATTTTGGACTTAATCCTCGTTTTGATGTGATGGGTCAAATTTGAGCTTTAGATTATATATTGTTGTAACTCTTACAGCATATTTATCTAATTTTATTTTGTAGTAAGAAGAAATACTTGCAACGTTTAAAACTCACAGTGGCAGGTAGTGATGGGCACCGTTTCACTAATCAGCTAACAGCTAATAGTGGAACTAATGTTTTGTTTAATTTAGTAGCATTTTCGCTGCCTTTGGAACCATCTGCAGACCAATTAGAATCTGTGTCTGGCTCGTTCTTTGGGTTTTCTGTTTCAAAATAAAACAAGAAAAAAATAGTTTGTTTTTGTGTTTTATTTTTTTGTTTGAAAACTAATCTAGAGAAACGACATTTGCAAAATAAAAAGACTTTTATTTTGTTTTATTTTATTTTAACGATTAAAGCAAAGACAAACTTTATATTTGGGACCTTCTGGCAGAACTGTAAATCCCAGCCTGAACAAGAGCATTACGTTTTCACTTCCCACCTTGTTTGTCTTATTTACAGGGAGTCGACTCATCTCGGAGAGAGCTGATGAAATTATCGTAAACAAAATTGCTTTATTATTCCAAGTTCTGCAGAATAGGGTTTGAGTGCAGCCAGTTGTGAATATAATTTAAGCAGTCTTCAACCACTATAAACTCTTCTTCTTTGGTGACTTCTGTCATTTCCAGTATCTCTACACGTTAAAACAACAACTGTGTTTATTAAAAATAAAACAACCACGTTGTTTTTCCATTTTCAAACTCTTAATGTAAAAACGTAAAATCAAGCTAATTAAAAATCCTCAGTTTGATTTTTTTTGTTAGCTATTTAAATCCAATATAAATAAAATACATGGTTTCTTTTTTAACGTGATATCAGAAATGATGAAAGCCGCCAAAGAAGATGAGTTTACAGTGGTTGGAAGACTGCTAAAATACGTTAAAGTTATTGGATGTACTCAAATCCGATTCTGCATAACTTAGAATATTAAAGCAATTTTGGTTATGGTAAAATAACTCTAAAGATGCGTCAACTACTAAAAAGGCCATTTCTAAAGTCCTTAGTGAAAATGTAATGCACCAGGATTTCAGGCCATGGTGATTTCTGGTTCATTCAGTAAGGAAAACATATTGCAAAATATTGAATGACAAAATGTAAAGCTTGTCTTTGCTTTAACCATTGAAATTTAGAAAAAAGTTCGCTTTTTCAATTTTGCAATTGTCATTTTTCTAATGTAGTTTTAAAACAAAAAACTAAAAAAATCAATAGATTATTTGTTTTATTTTGAAATGAGAAAAACAAAAAACCATACATGGATTAATTAGCGTCCTCTAAATTCAGTTTGTCATTTTAAAACAGCTAACACTAAGTGAAGATCTTGAACATGATATATCCAGCATGAAATATTGTTTGACATGTTAGACACCCATACACTTTTTGTTTTTATCTCTGCCCTCACAGGGCTTTCCCTGTTGTAAATACCAGAAAAAACCTCTGAGTCATGGTGTCTGCTTACAGCTAATAACACTTTAACACAAAACCATACAAAAGCACATCAACAAGAACAAGGGTTCAGAAAATTAATCCTGACAGTTTTACCCAGAATCCTTCGCAGCGCACATGTGACACAGCGTCCCATTGACTCTTTGCTTTGTTGTAATGAACTCCTCTGTGTCTTGTGCCCTGTCGTTGCGTCAGTGAGTCCAACACGTTTCTTGTCGTCAGGTATGTGTTGCTCGGGGAGGCTTGCTACCCGCTCCAGAGCTGGCTGATGAAGGCCTACCCCGAGGAGCGGAGCCGCAGGGCGAGTCGCAGCACGCTGACGGAGCCACAGCAGCTGTTCAACTGGCAGCTCCGCCGGGCGCTGCGCGTGTCCGAGGAGGCGCTGCTGAAGCTGAGGGCGCGCTGGCAGTGTCTGAGCAAGAGGAACGACTGCGGGCTGGACGTGGTGCCCACCATGATCCTGGCTTGCTGCATCCTGCACAACATGTGCGAGTCCCACGGAGACACCTTTAAAGCCGACTGGCAGGTCGAGGTCTCCGAGGCGGAGAGTCCGCAGCCCACTCACAAGACGCTCCTCTCAACCAGCATGGACCAAAGTAATGCAGAGGAGGTCCGAGGCCTCTTCTGTGACTACTTCCAACTGCAGAACCACTGAGCTGAAACTATAAACTGCTTTGATACAGCAGCAGTGTGTTAGAGCAGTGGTTCCCAAACTTTTTATCTTCTGACCCACAAAATATCCATGGCAAAAACTTGTGACCCCAAATATTACTGGTCTGAGTACACGAACTTCATTAATAACCCTAAAAACACAGGCTTTTTGACAATCTAAACAGCTTGTACACAAATATAAATACTTATTTATACTTATTTTGTGTTTTTTAATAATTATAGGGAAATTTTTACATATGCAATTATTTTATTACCCTTTAAATTGGTTTCTGGAGTCCCAAGCCCAACTTTGGGAACCAAAGTGCAGTGGTTCCCAAACTTTTCAGCTTTTGACCCACAAAATAACAGTAGCAGAGACCTGTGCCC